TTCTTTTCTAGTACCTCGCACGACCTGAGAGGCCCGTCTGATCTAACAGCCCAGCAGCCAACACAGACATGTTGCAGTGTGGAGCCCTCCGCTGACCTGCTCCGCTCTGTCGTGACTGCTCGCCTTTTCTCTCGTGCTGAATCGCGGTCGATGTCTTATCCACGTACTCTCACAACAACCCCGATCCAATGCGCCGGATTCGCATTACTCTTTCGTTCTCCGCTCTTCCCTCTGTGTTAAGTTTTTGCTTTCCTTCTTGCACTTTTAGACGCTCTTGGTCATCTAGACATTTCAAAACAATGCCCCTTGACTCATTATTTCCTTTTATTTTCATTTTAATCCTTGTGTATACTCATATTACGCAGTCAGTCGCTCAGTACTCGTTTTAGCAATGTACTCATTGTCTGGTTGATAAATCTTCTCATCACAAAGCGTCCCTTGGGTTTCGTGAAAGGCGCTATGGCAATTGAAATTATCTCTTATAATGTTATATTTCCGAACGATCCAAATGGTCTTTTATTCCTGTATGATCCTTTTTCAGTTCGGTTTATGCCTGTAGACAATGCCTAAGAAATCTTGGAATGCTCACCCGCCGTCTTAAGAGCTTAACCAGCAGTTGCTGCTGCGTCACAAATTAACTCGTCTCATGTTAATATCTTGTTTTTCTTGGTCTTGACTACTAAAATCCATATATACTTCACAAATTATACAAACACATCAAGTGTTTGCAATAGATGTGTGGTTGAAAATTTTACATACAACATTTGCTACAGTTTTGCATTACAAATCTCGCTGTGTTTATCGTTTTTTTCGTAAAGGCAGAACGATCTCACATGCCTGAGTTGAGTTGTCACTGTGATGCCACTGGGCTGCCTGGATTGGACGCGTCTTTATCCCAGTGGCTACTGGCGCTGCTACACTCACCTCTCTAACATCTATGAAACACATGTGTTTTATTATTTCGAAGAGATGAAGATGCGCCGCACAGACTTTCCGCCAGGCATTTCTCAAGACATGCTGGATCAAAGAACTTTCCGCTTGTGCAGGAGCCTACTACATTTACCCATGTACACCTACAGCTATTGATCGCGTCTGTTGCGTTTTGTGGATTTAACAAGCCTGCTTAGTTGCATACTTTCTTCACTGAATCTGATGCGTTAATTTACTCTTCGCGCGAAATAGTCTGGGACGATCTCAGCAGGCAACTTTCAGCAAGTTTCTTTGAGTGGGAGGCTGTCCGATTTGAGTGGAAAACAGCGCGCGGTCCTTGCAAAGAGGAGAGCTTCATCTGTCCTGCGTGCACCCAGATAATATGCTGCGGTTCAGTGGATGGAAACCGGTAAGCACTACGCTTCAAGCATGCAGCTAGGTATCGGCAAATGTTTCTAATCTCCGTGTTTAACTCATAACAAACAATAAATCTGTAATATGCCAGCAACTATCCTGAACAACTAAAATACGTGACAAAAACTTAATGTGGTATTTAGAATCCGAGGGAAAAGGCCAAATTTGAAGCTCTTCATTGCAAGATAAAAGAAGTGACACAATTTGTGGACTATATCAATAGGACAACCAACAACATGTAAAATGACAGACAATAAATAATTATATTCGTAATTATTCTTAAATATTTACAGGTTGCCTTCTATTAATAGTTGAATAGATATTCTTTGGACTTTTATCAACATTTTCACATATTTTAGGGTCTCTGGAAGAGGTGTTTGTGGAGGGGAGTGGTCGCAGCCAAGAGAACTTCAAAGATCCACAGCAAGGTTGACGAAGAGGGACTCGAGCTTGGCGGTGTGTCGGCCTGAAGAGTGGCTTCTCTGTGCTTGAATATGTACAGGGGCCGAACTGTATGCTATCCCTTGTGTCTTGCAAGAAAAGCTGTCAAGTAGGCAATCACTTTCTTTTGCATGGATGTAACATTGCAAATACTCCTTGGCCTTATCCAAAAAGTAGCAAGACCGCGGGCCTCTTTTCGCGCTCACAAAGGCGTACGGCATTTTCTACAATGCGCGCGCACTAACTGCAACGTGGCGCTCCCGCAAACTCTCTCTGAAGCACAAAAACGGGAGACAGAAACTCGCAGGACGCGCCCGTTGGGAAGCGCATGCGCGAGCTCTGTCGCTTCCAAACGCTACCTCTCATCCTATCACGCGCTTTTTTTCCACTGCTTTCTTCGCTCACGCTGCTTCTCTCGCCACTAACTGGGCTTCTCGCGCTGCTCATTTAACTCGAAGCTCTTCTCAAATGTTCTCTCTCAAAATGATGCGGTAAGCAGGAGGACAGAATTACGCCACTCGCGTTTCTCGCTTTCACTCGCGCAGATACGAGCATGGTTTTATATATGTTTAATACATGTTTAATCGTGTTTTATGCCGTTTGCCAAGACTTGATAAGTCGCTCGTAAAACACAGGAGGTATGGAAACTAAGAGCACCATATGTGGTAAATTGTACAGCTAATATAACAACACATTAGTTGTATTTCCTTTAACTGACGGATATAGAGTTGCTGCGTAGGGGGGTTGAGATGCACAGGCTGCAGTGGAGACGCTGCGCACAGCTGATCGACAGCTGGGACACAAACCACCAAATACAAAAACATAATTCAGATCCAGTGGTCATGACTCCACTCCCGAGGGATTCCCCGATCATTTCTTACAGTTTCTCATCAAGGGGGGGTCTCCTGTCCCCGGTACAAACACACTGCCTGAGGAAGGCTATGTGTATTTTTTTTGTCATTAACCTTTTTCGGACCACTTATTTATTTATTTTGGTGACGATCCGACCTCCATGCTGCTACTCTGGTTCAAACTACATCCACCAAACAATATGATTGATCTCGACCTCCCCAAAATAATCAAAATCTGACACGGTGTGAGATGTTTTTTTTAGCGGTTCTGTCGTCATTTCCTGCGATCTTCTCCATGCAGTCAGTCAAAATGAATGAATGAATGAAAGGGCGTTTATATTTATAGGCAAATATGGGCGTTACGTGAAGCCCGCAAAAGCTGCACCGCATTTCGAGTCGGTTGTGATTTATAAAGGGAAACCGGCGTAGGAAGTGCCATACGCACTTTCCTCCCTGGTACGCAATGTTTGGTGAATCGGAAAGTGGCGGAAAATGTATGGACCTATTTTTCGGATTTCTACTACATAAGCAACCTTCCCACGTGAATCCTACGCACGGCGTTATAAATGAGGCCCCAGATCTTAACATTTCCAGATTCATATTCCCCTAATTCACGTGTACGGTAGGCTATGTTTAAGATAAATCAGCACAGGAGCTTAAAACAGGGTGTAACAATTCACACCAATATTTTTGTTGGCCTCTTACAAATACGTAAGTGTAAAATTGAACAAGATGAGCTAAAAACAGGATGTAAAATTAAATACTGTACAGCAGAATACAAAACGGCTTATTGTATGCCAATGCCAACAGATGAATGGTATGAAGTTGTGAAAAAGATCAGGACTTGTATAGTCCTATGGCCTGTGGATAATAAAGCTGTCCTTGAGTCAGGTGGTTTTTGTTGAATATACTCATGTAAAGTATCTAAAAATTGTACTTAAGTACAGTACTTGAGTAAATGCTCTTGGTTACTTTACAACACTGGTTGGGACAGTGTTGTAAAGTGGGACTGTGTGTGCTGTTGTTTGCAGAAGTTCATTAGCATTGATATGAGCCTCTGAGCCCGTAGCCCCGCCTCCTGAGCGCTGATTGGCCACACTGTTACCGGAGCTGTCAGCCTGTGGAAGGTTTCTCCGCTCTGCTACTGTCCCAGTCTTCAGCTCCAGAGCGACGGGCTGACTGCAACTAGCGGCAGGCAGGCTCGTCTTGCCTTTTGTTAGCTATAGCTTGGAAAAAACCAAGGAAAAGACAGAGCCGCATCCATGCAGTAGCACACTTTTATTGGAAAATGATCATCTGTACGAGTAAAATGGAGTACCCCCTGAGAACCCAGTGTCAGCGCGTGCACAAACAGGTAAGCTGACAAGAGACGAAGCAGTTTGAAATAGTTTCAGCACAATTAAAGCTAACGGCTAACTGTGTCGCCTGGGTAACGTTCATTCATTTGATAAAGGGATTATTTTGTATCAGAGTAACAACTCGTCTCTTAACCACCTCTTTCATTTAGCTTCCTTGTCTTTTTTAAATTTAAATAGCATGTTTAGACAGGAAACAGCTTATTGAAAATATGACTATTGCAGTTTTAAACAGTTTTAAATATCTCAACTTTTTTACTTGCCAACTAGAAGCTAGCTAGTGAGCAAAAATAGCATTACCAAACTGATTTAGCTAGCTAACTTAGCTAACGGTATATAGGGCAATCATGCTAGAGTTGAATCAAACTGAAAAGACAATCAAAAATAGTTTTAATTGTTTAATTGGGGGTAATGAGCTGCCACCTTTCATCCCCATCAAGATACCTTTAATCCTTTACATCTCCAGTCGTTTACATGTCAGCTTTATCAAGGTATAACAAGCTACCGTTAAGACATTAATATGAACAAAATCTGTTTGTGCAGCCACTGTGATGTTATGCCTTCACAATCCATGTAACGAAGACAATTCCTTTGTTGGTTCACCAGTGGTGATTTGAGTGCTTTCCTTTACAGTACATGGTTATATGTAAGGTTCACAGTCAAATACTAATGTTTAAATGCAGTAACAAATATGAATGTTGCAGTACGAGGAGAAATCTATAGGTGACGATGACATCATCTGAAGATTTAGGAAAAAAAGTGTGTCAGTTTTGGTGGCTGTGGAGTAATGCAGTGACATTTATTCACCATAAATAATATATAAGCAATGCTCTAGGTGACCCTACAGTGTAAATGCGTTTAATCTATGAGGCCATATGGGGATTGTTCAGTCCTTTTTACTGCAAGTCGCTATAAATGTTGGCGACTTTTATTGTGCTGTTTTTTGCTGGCTGAACTGGACTGCCAATCAAAGTTGTTTTTCTCCTCTGTGGCTGTTTTTCCATTTTGCAACAGAAGGGGGGCGCTGTCCCGAGTGCAGTCCAAAAAGCCATGTTTGCTGCAGATTAGAGTCCAGAAATGGAGCAAAACAGGGAGGAATGTGAGCAACAAGGGATTCAAAACCCTCCACTTTGGGTTCAAGTCCAATATGTGTTCCTTTCAGTACCCTTCTCATTGTGTTATGTTCATATTCATTGACATTCAGCTTGCATTTTTCTGCTGGCATTTTTCTGTACAGGCCATTTGAGTACGTCATTGTTATAACTAAATGGCAAACAATCAGTATTTTTGTTGAGACCTATGCTTATGCAAACCATAATAACCCTATGAGTACTACAGCTCCTTAAAGATATTGCACCCCAAAGCTGTTTAAAATAAAGAAGTATATAGCAGGCAATTTAAGAAACACCTAATTTGAGCACCCGCTTTTATAACCCGCTCACCCTCGGCTTGTTTTTGAATTACCTTGTTATCCGTCTTTTGCTCTACCTGCCTGCCTTGTTTTCTGACAGGTCCAATAATTCATCTGCTGTATATGGGCTTGGCTTTCTCTATTTCTTTAGTCACCCTGCAGCACAGTGTTTTGTTTGTCTTGGTTGTGTTGTATCTGCTGTCCTTACCCTCCCCTCTTCTCCCCCCCTCTCCAAACATCTTTGGGCTGCAGCTGGTTTGTTTTGCGCTACACTCTTGAGTTCAGGTTGCAAGGCCAAAACCGGCCCTGGCTGCTTGTGTTTCCGGTAATTTTTTTAAGAGGGGGGGTTAATGCTGCCAGAACGCCGGCGCATGATAAGGACGGACCCCCTCCAGGCTCAATTGGAATGCAGATTGAATGTCCTTCTCCTGTATCCGCAGCAGCCCCCCTCTTGCAGCCCACCAAAATCACACTCATACTGGAGAGACACTACATGCACACATGCACGTCTCATCTCAAACTGACACAATTCCCCTTAGAGGACTGCTTGCATAATTTTTCCACATCATTGTGTGACATCTTCATATTCCTGCCTGTACAGTGCTGCTGTTTTGTTTGCCAGCCTGCCATCAAAGCCGCTCTTTGTCTACATTTACCTTTCCTCCCTTCAGCGACGTCACTCCTGTTTTTCATGTCATCCCTGCCTCTTGCTGCTCTCTGATCAATATACAAACGACCTCTCCTGTGGCGGCAAGGGAAGGTTTTTTTTTGAATGTCAAATGATCTGCACCTGTAAATGTTTTCCCACAGCAGGCAGCTTTTTAATTCTTATTCTATCATTTGCAACCAGGCCACAAGTTTGAATTCATCTTTTGATTTGAATAGAGCAGGGCTTCAATATCAACAGAGCCTTCTCGCTTTTGTCACCCCCAAGCTTGTTTTTGACTAGAAAGAAAATGGCTTTGTTTCCAAATCCTTCGCTGCTGGGCGTACTGTAAGCAGAATGAATAGGGTTGTGTGCACAAAGCCTTAATATCTTTCTCTATGAGACTGTTTGCTTCTATGTGAAACCAAAATATGCTTGTTAACAGCTTTTTCTTTTCGTTTAATGCGGGTGTTTTTTTCCTGTGGGTGGACAATAAGGAGCGTATCGCCTTATCAAAAGTACGGCTGTGTGCAGCATCTGTGGGCAGGCAAAAAACACGAAGCAAAATGCATGGGTGTCTCTGGACACAATCTCTGCAAAACATGTCTGTATAAACCTTATTTCCCTGGGTGTATTAATCACAAGTATTGATTTGAAAGTGTTTTGATAAATGGGCTGGGATGGATGTGGGGAGACACTGAAATATTCATTGCTTTACTGTTCAGACATTTAAGGTGTTTTTTGTTTTGGTTTCACTAGTTTCAAAATCTTGGAATCTTTAAAAAATTACTCATAGCATAATCATCAACTTACTGTATATTGTCTCGAGCTGCTGACTGCTGACTTTCAATTTAGCTTTCATGTTAAGCTGTCAGCTCACTCAGTTAAAACTGTAGGATGTGTTATTTCCTGCTGTGCTCACATCAACTGTAGTTCCTGTTTCAGAATTGACTTTCTGTCGCATTTGTCCAGACTTGTTTATGAAATTTCATGAAACACCAATTTTCTCTTTGATGGGGTGACGCTGGTGAGGACAATTCCTGTCTCCTCTGTCTATACATGAGTACGTCTTGTCACTTGTTTTCTGTAGATTTGACACTGGCTGAAAATCAAATTAATGACAAAACTAGTCATTTATTTGCCCACTGGCTATGAGGAGTTTGTGTTCTCATGCTTACATATTGTATGTGAAATAGCAGTGGGTTTATCATCTGGCTATGCAGCCCAGTCTCTCATTTCAGTTTGAACATTTTCTAACAGCAACCGTTACATTTTCTGAATCAAGCTTATGCAGATATAGTGTTTTCCCTTCACACTGTGAACAAAGGGCTCACACAGCCCCTACTGGAGCAAGTAGCAGTCTGTGTTATGCCCAGATGCATTGCGTCACCTGGTTGCTCACGATGACCCACTTTGATAAGGTTTTGCCAGAGACTCAGTTTTTCTTGATAGTCTGTTTTTTTTCATAAGCAGGCGCCATATTTCCAGTGTTGCATTTGGGACGTCTGGTACAGGTCGTAAATCTGAGACCCGGAGTACATTTATTGTTTTGCATTCATACCGTCAGCTGTGCACTGCAACAAAAAGTGATGTTCATTCAACAGCTATACATCAGCTGACTGTTATAGTGGCGCAAGTGTCAGCTTGCCATCACATACTGGCAGTTACACAAGTAGTAGCAGATTTTTCATCTAAATACTGTGTGCATTGTGTACATCTTGGCCTCCATTCTTCAGTAACTTGAATTAATTAATAACTGGAAAATAACTGTTTAATCTTTAACTCAAATATTGATACTTCCATTAACATAACATCATTCAGGTTAATACATTGACTACAGAACCACCATTTCTTAAACCTCTGATTAAGGAGTGTGTGGTTTTATTATTACAAATTAAACAGAGACGGTGATTGAACAGTTTCACATGGATCAGTCATAATCTGTTTGTGTTGCGATCGTAGCTTATTCTATAGTGACACACTGGACAGAATTAGTGGTCTCCCTGCATGAGAAGTCCTTGACAAGTCGACCTCAAAGCAGCGACCTCTGTAAGGCCTTTTCCTTTAAGTGACCAAGCCGGTTGGTGCTTGATGAAGCAGTAACGTAGATTCTGCAGCCCAGAATACTAATCGGCAGCTCTTGTGTTTGCAGAGAGATACTTGTGTGAATGTGCTCTTGTCAGGAGGCCTTTGATTGGCAGGCACCTGTGTGCTCTGCCCTCCAGCCTGTCCTCATGTCTGCTGACAGACCAGAGTAGGTCAGGGTCCGACTATAAGGAGGTTTTATTTATTGCAGTTCATTCGCTGCCTTTTAATCCTCCTCTTGACTTTCCTCCATTTTATATAAGCTATGAGATGAGGCTCAAATCATCATTAGATTTATTTAATGTTTGTTTCTAGGTCTGAGCGTAAATAGGTCAAGAGGTGGAGTCTTGTGCAGGATCAAACCCTCGTCCACTGTAGAGAGAAGTGAAATACCACATGAAGCCACTAGCCAGATAAACATGGTGGTGAATACCAAAGAGCCGTGCTTGGCTCAAGTTAAGTAAAATGGTCCGCTCGTGGACATTGTTTCTGACTATCCGTGACATGAACTGAGCTGTCGGGGAAAGGATTAATCCTAGACAGCAGTTTGTGCTGTGACAAGTCCTTGCCAACATTCGTACAATTCCAACTGCAGTGAAGCATTTGGTTTTGATCAGCGCTGTGCTCTCAGGTTTCACATTCAGGCGAACTGAGTCGTCGCCCAAGGCTGAGCTTCTAAACACCTTTTCCTAGAGGCCATTGTATGATGGCGAGGGAGGAAATAAATGGCTGTGCCTATGAGGGCAGGACAGCTTCCCTCTCCTCATGCGTCTGTTTCTCTTGGCCTCGGGCTCCTCGGCCCAATCCCACCTATGTTTGTGTGTTTGGCCTCATCCACTTCTTTGCTACTGCGGACCTTCCCTCTTCAAGGCCTCATAAGCCCACATTTCACATTAGATTCTTCTTCTGCGGTTCCACCCAGCATTAAATCCCCCTTTCCCCTGGGTGTAATGTTTTCCTGGTTTCGTCGTTGTATCAGTCCATCTATTGAGTTTGTCTACTGCATCCACTTTTAATTAACAGATGTGGAGACCCATATGGCTCAGCTACATGTAGTAATGATAATGTTTGTGAGGCTTCAGATCCTGCTGCTGCCAACGCAAGGTGGCGTCTCGGTGCCTGTGGAGCTGGCGGCTGAGCACTTTGTTTGCTTGTTTTAGTTGCAGAAAGAATAATGTAAGGAATGCAGTGCCTTGCCACCGGCGCTGGTATCCCAGCATCGCGCCCGCTATTCCTTCAACACTCATGAGCTGATTTAAGGTGTGGAACATGACTCCAGTCCAAAGCACAGTCGGTGCCCGTCGTCACACGGTGTGGACGCTGAAGCTGCACTTTATCTTGAGCCAACTTTTCTTGGCTATAAAATAAGTTCTAATAAATCACCGAAAGGACAGTCTGCCCTGTGTTACTGTTTTATTACGTCTTATCACCATTTATATGTAAGCAGTAGTACACAAAATCAAAGAAAACATTTATCTGACATTTATGGCTGCATATAAGGTTTTCGTTCTCTATCAATTAATCTAGTTTTATTACTTAAAATTCCCATATCCGATCAACTGGAATCCGTTTATTTGGGGGATTTTTGCTGATATACTGATTTAAGCAATTATTACAATGTATGCCAGTTCATTTTCTGTTGCTAGATAAATCAATAAATGTACCTCGTTTCAGGTCCAATGACTTCTGCCTCAGCATCAAACACATGATCACAGCTATAAATCATCCCCCGATTTTACTGCAACAACAAACGGGAACAAAGATTGTGCTTCTCCCGTCAGAAACCATCTCCTCTCTGCCTGCTCTCTGTAGGTGATGGTGAACGGAGAGAAGGAGCGCGTGTCGCTGCTGTTCATGAAGGCTCTGGTCAGCAGGGGCAGCGTGGACGCCGTGTCGCAGCAGATGGCCTCTCACCCGCAGTACTTGGAGAGCTTCCTGCGCACACAGCACTACATCCTGCACATGGACGGGCCCCTGCCGCTGCCGTACCGCCATTACATCGCCATCATGGTCAGTGGCCTTTCTCATCTCGTTGATACAAACCCAGGATCTCGCCATACTGTGAACAAACCGATAGTCGATTTGGAAGCTGTTCTCCAGCAGGGATCATAGAAGTATTATTCAAAATGAAAGAATAACACCTTGTTTGAAAAATGTCTGAACTTTTTCTTGCCTTGCCCTTCAGGCTGCAGCACGACATCACTGCAACTACCTGGTGTACCTGCACTCAGCCCAGTTCCTGAGGGTGGGCGGGGACCCTGTGTGGCTGCAGGGTTTGGAGGCAGCCCCCCCTCGCCTTCGTCTGCTTGACCACATCAACAAAGTGCTGGCCCACCAACCCTGGCTCACTGCCTGCTCACACATCCAGGTACAGCACAGCAAAACGCAGACAATCATTTTTTAAATAAAGCGTAACAAGAAAGTATCAAATGATTCCCCATTACAACTTACAGAATACACAATACAGAAGTGAGCTCTCAGGGTCAAGGTTATAAACCTATGAATTCAAGTTTTCTGTATGCGTTTGCTAGTTTTAGTCTTTATATACGTTTGACAGCAGTTTGTTTATTACACTTCTTGAAATCATTTTCTTGTTATCAAATTCTAAAAATCCAGACTGGGTGAAAAACAGCAGGTTTTAATTGTGAAGCACAGTGCCCTCTGCTGGAGTGTCACGTCTGATCAATTGCCGTCTTCTTTTTTAGGAATTGATATTTAATAGAAAACTTAAACTAAAATAAATGTATGTTCATTCTCATTTTTTTTAAAATAGCCAGGCTATATATTTTCATTGAGTTAAGATATTTTCTCCGCTCATTTCAGTTTCTGTTTATACTAATCACCCTGCTCACATGCACACTAACGAGTATAAAGGGCCGTGTCTGACCCTGAGCTCTGTCTGTCAGGCGCTGCTGAAGGCGGGCGAGCAGTGCTGGTCTCTGGCGGAGCTGGTGCAGGCCGTGGTGATCCTCGCTCACTGCCACTCCCTCTGCAGCTTTGTGTTTGGATGTGACACAGACTCAGACCCTGCCTCTCTCTCCAAGTCTCCTAACGGCACCCCGCCCACCTTCTGCCCCATCGATGCTGCCAACGGCAACGCCAACGTGCCTCAGACGCTCGCCACTCCCTCCGAACACATAACTCGAAGACGGGTAACAAATCAGACCTGTATGCTCTTAAAATGAAAATCACTGATAATTGCAGAACAAAGTAAACTGTTTCACACAAATATTCCACTTGCAATGAATAAAATATACTTTTATAATTACAAAAGTGTATAGTAGGGTGATCATTTTCATCTGATACAGCATCACAGAGCTCTTTGTGTAAATGACAGATGCATCTGAATCTATAATGTAAGATTGGGTTGTTCATTGTTCAGCCTGTTGTCTGTTCCTTCCTGAAAGGTTTATTAAACCTTATCTGTGTTTGTGTGGATAGTCTCTGGACTCCAGCTGTGACATGGTGTGTCTGAAGGAGAAGATTCAGAAGTCTCAGGAGGAGCGAGAGAAGAGAGAAGAGCGGCTGCTGCAGACACAAGCACTCCAGCAAACAGGTAACCAACAGAAACACACAGGCAAGAAAACCCCGCTCAGGTGTTCCCCCTCACTTCTGATGGTTATCTCGAGCGCTACATTTGAAGTCACATGGTGTGAAACTCGAGCAATTTACATTTATTGACGCACTCCCTCTGCCTCCCCTCCATCGCTGTTGCTTTCATCGTCTCTTTTTTTAGATATGGAAGAAGAGGAGGAGATGATATGCTTTGCAGACCCCACACGTTTCATCACAGACCCCGACTTATGCTACCAGGAGTTTGCTCGCAGAGAGGAGGACCACTTTCAAGTATTTAGAGTTCAGGTGAGGGTCGGTCACGGTGGGTGTTAGGGCTCGTTATCCCACGGCGTCAGAAAATACCTTCCATTTCTTTTACACATGACTTCGTCCCTCAGACCCCATTGAGATCCTGATGCCATACTTTATGGTTCTTTAGGAACAAAATCATAAAATGATTTAGAAGATTGGAGAAGCAGAGAAAAAGTGGCTTTACAAAATGATGTTGTTTTTTCCTTTTACCTTTGGGATTTGTTCCGTCTTTGTTAAATCACATCTCAGCTCTTTAAGGCTTCTTAAATTATTCAAATAAAAACAACCGTCTTATTTGAACTGCTTACAAAAGGACGAGGGTTGGGAACCACTGCCGCACTTTAATATTTGATGATCTTTAGCTAACATCGCCACCTTGCTGACTTGATGTGTTGTTTTCTCTGCAGGACTATTCATGGGAGGACCACGGCTTCTCCTTAGTCAACAGGTTGTACTCGGACATCGGCCATCTCTTGGACGACAGATTCAGGAGCGTGACGACCCTCCCCTCGATGCACAGCCCCGACCTGAAGAGGGCCATCTGGAACTACATCCACTGCGTGTTAGGAATACGGTGAGACACAAACACCCTTTGAGACTCGAACTAAAGCCCTGCTTCCTGTTGTGTTTAGTAGATTAAATGAATGTTTGTTTGTGGTTACAGGTACGATGATTATGATTATGGAGAAGTGAACCAGTTGCTGGAGCGCGATCTGAAGCTCTACATCAAGGCTGTGGCCTGCTTTCCAGACGCCACCAAAACTCCAGTGTGTCCGCTCAGTCTGGCTCCGCTCAAACCTTCAGAGCGGGTAAGAGCCCCTTTAACACAGCTTTACCGACTATCTTTGCTACATTTGAAGCCTCCATAGAGGTGTTTTATTTAAGCATTATGTGTATGTTGTTTTGTTTGTGACGTCACTACTCTAGAAGTACATTTAAAAAAAATCCTCATACAAATCCTTAATTTAAATAGTGATTTATCAGCTGCCCCCCCCCCACTGTAGAGCCTTGCCCCCCCAGCTTCCCCCCTAACTTTTTGTGTCCCTAAAACTGTACTTGTAGAAACAAAAACCTACACTATGTCCACAAGCTTCTCAAGCAACGAAACAAGCAGTGCTTTAATTAAAAACACAATCATTTTAAATACCTGTTAAAAACGCAGCTACGGCCCTGCATTAAACTGCGGAGCGGCTTTCACACAGACCGCCGCTCACACCGCTGCAGAGAGGGAGCGAGCCCGTCCAAGCACCTGAAGGTGGATCACATTCCCCTGGGAGCATTTTCCCCTTCCCACTAGTGTTTTGTTTTTACTAAAGATCAGAGATTGACATTTGACATATTTTTTTTATAAAACGCTGCAGTTTTGAATCGATAGCGTTTAACAGAAGGTCGTTGTTTGGACGTTACGTTACAAAATACTACGCAGACAGCGCCAGCTGGGGAGATTGATTACTTTATTTGCTAAAACTATGCGGTACTATTAAAATCCACGTAAATTACACTCACATGCATGCAATTGAGGCTGAATTAAATGAAAACCAAGGAATACATCCTTTACCGTTCAACTGGATCTCAACACACAGCTGCCCTGTGCGCTTTTGATCAATACTTTCTTGATTTTTATATTTATTATAGGCTATGCGCTGCTTATCAGATACATGGCCCTAACGGTGTAAAAGTTATATACAAGAATTTGTACCAGTGCTTTTCACCAAGTAGACTCTTGCAGGCTAGAGTAGCTGAGTGATTCAACAAGAACAAAAAGACATATTCTGAGAAGAGATCAGGAACGAAACAGAAAGAAGGAAAAGGAAAAGAGAGATGAAGAGACCAGGAGGGTTCCCGAAGCAGGAGGAAGAGGAGGAGATGAGAAGACCCAGGAGGGTCAGAGCAGGAAGGAAGAGGAGGAGATGAAGACATTAGTGAAGGGGAGAAAAAAAAAAAAAGAAATGTATGTGAGAATAAAGATGAAGTGTTCAGGAAGAGGGACAGAGGCAGGGATCCAGGAGGCAGAGGAACTCCAGCTGAACCACATGGTATGTTTCTTAATTCTCCTTTACATTACATATTCCATTACAGCAGCACCAATCTAGCAGCTCATCTNTGGAGGACCAGCATGGAGGACCAGCATGGAGGACCAGCTGGTCCATGCTGGTCCATGCTGGTGGATCATACTTGGGACCAGCATAGTATGCTGGTTTGCTGGTCAGCAAACCAGCATACTATGCTGGTCCCAAGTATGATCCACCAGCATGGACCAGCATGGACCAGCTGGTCCTCCATGCTGGTCCTCCATGCTGGTCCTCCATGCTGGTCCTCCATGCTGGTCCATGCTGGTCCATGCTGGTCCATGCTGGTCCATGCTGGTCCATGCTGGTCCATGCTGGTGGATCATGCTGTTCCATGCTGGTGGATCATGCTGGTCCATGCTGGTCCATGCTGGTGGACCATGCTGGTGACCAAAACACAATATAGGCTGGTCCATGCTGATCAACACCATGCTGGTCCATGCTGGTTTTTTCAGCATGGCCCCCCCGCAGCAACTCTATATCCACCAGTTAAAGGAAATACAACTAATGTGTTGTATTAGCTGTACAATTTACCACATATGGTGCTATTAGTTTCCATACTTCCTGTGTTTTACGAGCGACTTATCAAGTCTTGGCAAACGGCATAAAACATGATTAAACATGTATTAAACATAAAACCATGCTCGTATCTACAACCTATAGAGATGCAAAACGGCGTCAGTTTAGACGTAATTCTGTCCTCCTGCTTACCGCATCATTTATGAGAAAACATTTCATAACATTAACACAACATATTCGAGGTGGTTTTAAATAACATATCCGTATTTATTTATTTATTTATTTATCCCAGTTGTGTTTTTGTGTGCACTGAGGAGTCTCAAACAGGCGTTTGTTACATCATTTTAAGATTGGTTTTAATCAATGTTTGAAAATGAATTCTTCATATATGATAAATGAGAGGTAACATTTTATTTATGGTATTATGTCCACATATTTCTCTCCATTCTTCCTTCTGCCAACGGTGTCGCAGTTTCTCGTCTCTCCCGTTTTTGTGCTTAGTGCGTACGCATGGGTTAGAGTTTGCGTGGAGGACCGCACGTTTTCCCGTCAAGTTAGTATTTTATAAATCGCAAACATTGCGTAGAAACTGCCTTACGCCATTTTTTGAGCGTATATCCCTTTATAAATGAGCCCCCTGGTCGCCAGGAGCCTATCTCCAGTGGTGGTGTGTCAATAAGCAGGATACATTTCAGTACTGTAAAGGGCTATGCATACTTTTATACAGATTATAGGTTCTTGTACTTTACTTTAGTATTTCAGTCACATGCCACTTTATAACTCTAATGCACTGCATTTCAGAGGGGAGTATTTTTAACTCCACTACATTTGTCTAACATTGACGTCTATCATTATTAAACTGCTTTCAGGGACTGAGTAGCTAATTGAGAAGGGAAGTGACCTTCAGGTGAGTTCTCGTTTATTGCAACAGCACACAATGATTATTCATCAGTTTGTGGAAGGGACTTATCAGTTTCAACATGATAATACATATAGACAAAGACACCCGGTTTGGTGGAAACCTGACTTGCACTGAAGATCTGATCTTAGAGAGATACTATTGTCCTCATATAGATGCCGAATTACCATAAGGGACACAACATGACCAGAAAAAAACACAAAGTAACCAAAATAGTACTACAAAGAGAAGCAACAACGACTACAAAGAGATGTAACTTTGTGCAGGGATTTATTGAGTCCTCGCCTCTTACTGAAAGGGACCTTTGTTCTATATCAGGCATATTGTTATTGAATTGAATTAAATCAGGTTGTTTTTGTGACTGAGAATCAGGACATTCATATCATTTGGTTGCTGTGTTTTTGTACTGTCTTACCAGCTCCTGGCTTAAGATAGGGTCATGTGGTAAGCGTGACATCAATTATTCCAGCAATCACCATGTCAATCATGTCAAAATGTAATAATTTAGATTTTTTTTCCTTTTCAAAATGGTTACATGATTCTATGGAAACTTCTGTTTTATGAAAGTGGAAATCAAAACATTTCTGGTTGGTCAGTTAAAATGGAAAATGATAGTATTTGCAAATGAACCTCCATATTTGCAGTGTAATATCCACTTACAACAAAAACACTTTTGCTATAAATACAGATCTAATGTCTAAAATCAGCTATGAGTGTTGAAAATATAAAATAGTTAACATCTGAGTAAAAATAAAGCAGAGGAGAGCTCTGGTGCGGTAAACAAGTGACACGAGACTATAAACTTTCCATATTAGATTAAATAGCAGTCTGCACAAACATCATGTGAATCTACTGTAGCGCTAGGCAGAACCAGTCCAAACCGGTTAGCTACAGTTTAAATTGATTCAGGAGAAACATCAAAAAAAGGTTGGGACTTGTCCTAGAAAATATCTGCAATAATAAGGGGGTATCCAGAGGTTAAGCCTACTCCTAGATGAATCTAAGGACTGTTTTCATTATCTAAAGTGACCTCAAAGCAAAGGTGACGTCTTCAATTATATATTTTCGGCCAACCCACAGTCCAGAACCAAAATACTGAATGTTCTCTACGTTATCTTAACAAAGAAAACAAGGAAATCTTCACAAATGACAAGCTGGAATAAGGGATTGTTTGCCATTTCAAGACTTAAACGATAAACAATTATAAATACTTTTTTACTAACTTCTAAAACAGGAAGAAAATTGAGGCTCCAACTCAATGTTTTCTGTGTAATAACAGGTCCTGGGAGACATTTTATTAAAGGATCAATTAAATGGAAGAAAGCATCGTATCTCTTTCTATAGAAAAGTGGCAGATTAATTTTAGATTGACAAATAGTTCCTACTCTACAATGTATAATGAAGATATTGACTGAAGATCTTTCTGGGATCAGGGTTAATACTTCTCTGGGGAACTGGCTGTGAATTCCAGAAAATTCCTAGAAATGAAGCAAATTAGAATGAATTATTAATCCTCCTTTAATTTCAATTTGACTGGAAGCAATAAACCACTTAGCACCTGACAAGGGTGGTGAACAAATGATAACGCTACATTTCAGAGATGGTATGTCTGAGTGCCCTGGATCCACTGAGCGTTAAACTTGTTTTCTGTTGTTTGTTAGTATAACTTACCATTTCCTTTTTCAAGCTGATGTGGTTGATCAGCTGTTACCACAGCATCAGACAGTTGTTGTGCTTCACTTCACTGCAATCAGTCATTTCTTCAGAAATCGTTCAAGACAAAAGTAGAAGGGACTTTCCTAAGAAATATGTAGGCACAGTTCTGGTTTCTTCAGTAAGAGGATATTGTTCATCAAGCTGCCAGAAATGCCATCTACCCCTCAGGGAATTTGGGAAATTAACATTATACAAAACAACCAATACAACTAAATGTATATGCCATCACACTGTTCAATTGTTCAGCACCATAACAGGTTTTAGTAACACATTTAGTTGGTGAATTATAATAGAAAACAGAAACGTTGGACCTCTGTGTTAAAAAGAGGACAAATGTTGCCTGCCCTGACTCTAAACACTGTTTAGATATTGAAGAGCTAAAATAAGCTACGTGCTGCTGTTCACCCATCACTTCCTGTTTAACCAAACCTCTCCTGCTGAAGAAACCGTAACTCAGTCAGCGTTGTCTAAGAGTCAGCGTTGTCAGGCCAACATCAACACCGGTTTCCTGATATTCTACAATGTGCCTTTTAAATAGCGACTCATGGTGAACAAGACTGAAAAAATATCTGTCTCTGGATTGTTCAGTAACATACAGAGGATTTAAAGCCTCTCATACAGTTATACATGAAGCAGGTAGACTTAGAAGAAAAGGAGGTCA